CACATAAAAAAATTATGAGCCTTTTTTGTTTTCAGCTGGGATTACAATTACGAATTGAAGAATAAACTCAAAACGCCACTCAGCTTAGTACTCACATTGTGTATTTCAGTGTGTGTAGATAAGTTAAAAAAATAGTAGATAATACAAATATTTGTGAGTAGGTACATTATCAGATATATATTACACCCTGTATCTTTGAAACTAGTGAAATTTTCTCATATTATTCTTGTATTTACTATCTGTAGTTCAGAGATTGCCCATTCTTAATGAATCACCCGGTATAGAATGCTTAAAAAGATCGTCAGATCATAGTTTTCCGGACTGGAAGAGTCGAATAATTTGAAATAAACCCATGCATCCACAAAACACAACTACACTCAAGAAATTTTAACTTTCAGCCGCACTAATTTTTGTTTTATTTGATGGTTATTATACCTCATTTTCAATACCAGTTCAGTCTTGGAAAAAACTTGGTCGTAGCTTCAGTTTCTATCAACAACCAATTTTCAAACCTTTTTTTTTTCAACCTCCTTCATTATCTTGACAATAATTAACATGAAGAGAAAGGAAAGCTGGGAATGGGCATCTGAATATCAATAAGAAAGTAGATATAGGTACCCTACTATAATGGAACCCTAACTTTACTGGGGGTCTGTTTCTAGTAAGTTGCTCAAGTTATGTCTGAAATACTGTCCCAATAAATGTTTTGTAAAAAATTTCAACACCGAACTGAAATATACTTCCCACGTGCAGAATCGAATATGACGTGGATAGAATGAGTCGTAGCAAACTTGAGTCCGATTCTATATTCGGCGATCTATTTTGGTAGCGAGTTCGGTGTTTGGCATACCATGTCCTACATTGGATAGTGTTAGATATATAAGTAGGTACGAATTTAATATCTGCTCTGTTTCATGTAGTTTCTGAAAGATGTTGAATTTTTCTACAGGTGATGATATAATTTTGCGTCGAACTTTCTTACTTCGTCTCACAAATATGCCCTATGGAAACTTGTGATTTGAATTTCAATATTATTTTTGATTATTTCCATACCGCTTGCAAAATCTTGGAAATCAATACCCGTTAATCCGAAAATGAAACAAAAACCGGGACTGAGAAGAGAACTTGATGCTGAAACAATTAATTGGCACTCGAATAACCGTGTTTAAGATCTAGAAAATGTTGATGTAATTAATCAAATTCGACACTAATCACAAGTATACCTACATCATGACCGAATGAAAAATATCAACACAATATATATGACAGCGTCACAGAGAGAAAAATCATTTTCGAATTACAAAATAGATTATCCCTAGAGGCACAAAAGTAAGTTAACTCCTGGCGTACGGTACTCATCAGTAGCTATATATAGCCCAAGAATCACTTAATTTTTCATCGAAGATGGCGATAGAGTCGCTGATTCGATGAAAGTTTGAATACAACAGCAGACTGACACAAAATACTATCGCTGGCATCACCATGGTCTGTACCACCTACCTTCATCATCCTCTAAAACCTCAGAGACTCTCAGGTATCAGTGCTGGTCTGCAGGTCCCAGAAAAAATGGTTCAGATCTTTATTGCGAGTTCGCCGGCTTCTCCATTTCCATTTTCCAGGCCTTGTCCAGACAATCTTGAGCTTTCTTCATAACGCCACACTATCAACTCCTTCCATCTTGGATCACGTCTTCGATTTGCTGATTAATAAAGTTGATAATTGCGTTTGCCGATTTTCTCTCTTATCATATTATACATGTTGATCTTATCTTCACGCTCTCCACAATGATATATGAAGAGGTATAAGGACCAGGATGAACTTCATAGTGACAGTTGACCACGTAGTCATTGGTCCTGTTCTGCATACACCTGCTAGTCATAATAAGATTGTCTACAGCAGATTTGTCCTTGTATTCAATATCAATACGAATTCTAGTGCTCCATGCATGGGTGATAAGCAGTCTAGCCGTGTATATTCAATGTTTTGCCAAAACCTATAGCTCACACACCCAGTTTTTTCTTCAACAAAATTCCTGCACACTATCAGAGCTTCTGCTGGTCTCAGATACTTGTCTTCTAACGCTCTTCTGGTAACATCATGTGTCGTATTTTCAGAACCAATGAACCAAACCTCTCAAATGGAACAGCGGCAGCACTGATTGGGTAATTTTGCACTTATCATGCGATGGGTTTTTCTTCGAAAATCACTTTTGTTACTAACGTATTTTTGTCTAAAGAACACGAATTTGATAATGAAAATGTGAACAAACCATTATTTATTTAGATAAACTTACGAATGTCACCTTCGTTTCTGCCTGTCTTCTTTGATCCCATTGAGAACAAATTATCCTTCTTTCTTCATCATTGGACACATTTTTTATATATGGAAGTCAACTAGAAATATGATTTTCTTGTGATTCATCAATATCTAGTGAAAAGAAGGAAGAATATATCATTCGAAATAATGGCGTGTGTAGTCATTCGAAAGCAATCTGTTGAAATTTCACATCTCGTATTTGGATTGATTATTGATAAATAGCCTTCATCTGGTATGATTGTTTACTCAATATGAAAAACTCGCCATAAAACCCATATTTCGTCTTGAATTTCCTATTAGAAGATGATTTGAAGTGTTCAATAGCAAAATAAGAAGATTTAGTAGCTGTAAATACATCCAAGACAGGGGAAAAAAGAAGGCAACATTTTTAACTTCTTCTTGAAATATCTGGATAAATAGTGGTTTGTTCATTTTCATTTATCGAATTCGTGTTTTTCAGAAAAAAATACGTAGGTAACAAAAAAAGTGGTCGAAAAAAAACCATCGCATGATAAATGCAATAGAGGACGAACATTATACGAATACATGGGGAGAGATTTGGATCCACTCTCTGTCTCACAGCAATCATGTGTTCTTTTTTTTTAGGCGTTCATTCGCAACTCAGTCCATTATCTTCCAAATTTTCAGACGAACCAGAACGCAGCAGTTAATATCTTCACCTTTACGATCAATATCTGAAACTTTACATATCAAGAAAAAATTGGGTGCACTATAGTTTTATTATTTCTCGCAGTGTATCCTGGGTGTCATTTCGATTTCAACATCAACATCATATATCTAGGCATGATGACAGACAATCACATCACTGATCAAAGCTGACAATAGAAGTGATATTGTTTCGTTCTGAACTAACTGAATTATTCCACTCGGACTGAACTGAATCAATCTTTGGTAGAAGTCCATATTGCTCATATTGGAGGGAAATTTTTCAAAGTAAGGAAGAACTGCTCCAAGTCATCTCTATGTGTGAAGATGACTTAGAGCATTCCTCCCTGCCTTTTCTTGGAAAAAACGCATATTAAATGTCAACTAATTCAGTTCATTTCAAATGATTTATTTCAGTTAGTTCAGGACGAAAGAATAATAATATTGTGAATATGATGAAATACTCTTGGTTATCCTAATATATAGCATGATGATTACGATGTAGTCTACAGTGATTTCAATCATTGGAACTTGTGTTGAAGGCGCGTTTTTGAGTCATGGTGGATTTATGCTGCAGTTTCTAGTCTAAAGATTTAAGTCGTAAGTATTAAAGTCATAAGTCTTAAGAAGTTCAGCTATTGCTTTTCAGAATAAAAGTTCATACACGTGTCATAAACAGTGATAAGTTTCAAGTCGTAAGAAAAGTTGGCAAACATTCATCTCTTACGACTTACGACTTAAAACTTTTGAATAATTTGTTCTGCGCATAAGCCGTGCGCCATCATTTGTAATCTTGGTTCTGTTTACATTTGTTCGAATCAAATCAGATCCAAAGCAGATATTTGTAACTGCTGAATAATAAAGAAAATTATTTTGTGTTACCTCAAACATGTATGAAATTGATAAACAATAAGCAAAATGAGCTAATGAATGGGTGTTTTTCTTATGATACAGTGTGACCCACTTCTAATGGAACCACCCCTGTATCTTACGTAATCGTTGGGTAAGGATCCTGAAATTTGCTGGAGCAAGAGATATACCAAAAATGCACTCCATGACCAAGTGGGGTCATCTTCAGTGATATACACTGCTCGCCAACAGCCATGAAACCACCCCAATTTCCGGAAAATGATATTAGGAGTCAAAATAGGTTGAAAATCACTTCAGATTTGGAATCAGAGGACGCCCAATTTACTAATTATTCAAATTTTTCCTGGAACATTTTCAGTTCGGAAAAATGAAATTTTGTGGCATTTTTCATGAAGCACCACCGTATCTCACGTAATTGACTTTCTCTTCCTCTGGCAAATTTCAGAACCCTACCTCAATAATTACGTGAGATACGGGGGTGCTTCCATAAAAAATGCGACAAAATTTCATTTTTCCGAACTGAAAATTTTCCAGGAAAAATTTGAATAGTTGGTAAATTGGGCGTCCTGATTCCAAATCTGAAGTGATTTTCGACCTATTTTGACTCCTAATATCATTTTCCGGAAATTGGGGTGGTTTCATGGCTGTTGGCGAGCAGTGTATATCACTGAAGATGACCCCACTTGGTCATAGAGTGCATTTTTGGTATATCTCTCGCTCCAGCAAATTTCAGGATCCTTACCCAACGAATACGTAAGATACAGGGGTGGTTCCATTAGAAGTGGGTCACACTGTATGACAGTCCTTATGCATGAATTACCATTTTCCATTTCCTCCTAACGACTCAAAACTTGTGAATAGAAACTTATGACTTGAAACTTAATACTTAAAACTTCTGCATAAATCCACCATCAGTCATGGTAATGAAAACAGTCATGATAATGATCGCCTGGAAATCCTTTCCTGTCAAATGTGAGGAATTTGTCTGTCTCAATGAATAGAAACAAGAATAATTGACGAATTAGTCCATCCTAGTATATGTTCATTATTTTGGAAACCATACCTCGATTCACACACCACCTGTAACGACATGACATCGGTATATTTAACCGGTCAAAAATAGACGCCGTGTTTCATATTATGTAGTCGGTAGGTGTCAGGCATAAAATGTTGGGATCTGCGAAGTGGCATCGGTTCCATTTCGAAAATAGAGCAGCAGATGCCGAAAAATCGGGCTTGCCAAATTAGTACGAGGCCGACTTCTCACGATGCCGACGACGTTGCAAATCTCCGAGATAACAGCGTTGTTCGTTTATTTTGTGGCAATCGTCATGGTGGGCATTTACGTGGCCGTCATATGTTGACACGTGAATTAAGAAGGCAAGATTGGTTTTCAGATAATAACATTAACAATAATAATTGGTGCGAACTGCACATAGAAAAACAACTAAAGGAGAGATTCATAAATATTTTGAGAAGCCTTCCACTCTAGACCAGTTCGTCAAATAGTATAATCGTGTCTAACTTTGAGAAATTGATGAATGCTTCAATATCTACATTGATTGTATACGTACACGTCTTTGTCATGTTACAGATTCATTTATATAATATTTTATATTAACAACCAAATCGTATGAATCATTTGTGTTTTTTATATAATTAACCCAACTCTCAACTTTCCAGTTATCTTATGCCAGACCACTAGGTTGATAATCATCAACCATCATTATGGGAACACCTGAAAGTGATACAATATAATAAGTCATATTTATATTGTCGTGTAGGTATCTATAACGACCTTTTCAAAATATGCACACCGCTTGAGGGTACTTATTACTCCATAGACTTAATTTACTTACCCGCTTCGCTTTGAGAGGGTTGTTGTTATATTGTGGAACATAAAGAAATAAGGAAGAGTATTCAAAAAAGTTAAAGAAACATGTTTATTGAATGAAATAATTTTATGGGTAGGTACTTACAATTTGGATATCAGAGAATCCATCTTCAATGGGCACAGGGAACCTTTCTTGCTCTACGCCCGACGTAGACCGCTTTCATATTTTTTATACTCAAACTACTCCAACAAACATTTCCCTCTCTGATTGTATATTAATTTCTATATCTCAGCAGTTTAGGAATCAATGTATTTCCGTTCAATCTGGGTTCATACAGGTTATGAAAATATTAGTTGTAATACGAAACTTTAGTACCTGTCTAGGTATCAGTGTCATGCAATACATTGGATTTGAAATGAATGTTTTTTATTAAGAATAATTATGCTCGGATTCAGATAGATGACAATTTGATTAGGATTTACTACATGATATCATGATATATTATGTATTCCAAATCCCTAAAATTATGGCAATGTCTATTGTATTATCACCCGTCAATTCATTCTTGCGTGAACAGGGTGTTCAATTTCGGAATTAGGTTCAACAAACTGTTCACCAAGCAAGGCTCTGTATCCTCTTTCTTAAGTACTCAAAAATTGGCAAGTTGATCCATACCCATTCGGTACGACCTGTTAGTGATAGTCCTGATGGACAACTTGAGGATATTAGCAGAGTGATATCATCATCTTGATGTTTCTATTGTTTCTAGGCAATCAAATGACTTATTATATTTTCCACATCTCACGTCAGTGGGACCAAAGTATCGTCATGAGCTGATGTCATATGATGTGAAAAATGACGTGAATAAATCACAGCCCAATGGTGTCGTATTAGTATTATTCTCGTTAATTTACATCAGTAACTCGTCTCCTAGGTACCACGATGGCATCGATATGAATTGTCATGAAAAAAGTGTTATCAAACATGATATGACAGTTAGGTACATACATTAAACCACGGAAATATATGAATATCTGATATTAACTATAGGTATACGTGATGTATACGTAATGGTGGTTACTCGATTCCTCGTGTGTCATGTCCATTCAATAGTCCTTCAAGCTATTCATATTATTATTTCAAATCATTTAGTGAGTATACCTATCGGCGAGATGGAGATGTAAGCGGAACAAAAGTAGTTTGATATCAATACAACGAATGTTGGTATATGGACCCAATTAATACAGATAAATCCCAGAGATACTATAGAGGACATCACATTCATGTCACACATGTGGTGATACTGATAATGTTTTTCGAAATAAAGAGTCCCCCGGCAATAAATTTATGTTTTCTTAAAATTCACATTGTTACCTTGCCACACATGAATGTGACATCCCAGAAATGTTTGTGTTTACTGAGGATCTTCACTTTATGAGTAACGTATATTCATGTATTCTCTTTGCCACTCAATAGAAAATCAAATTGATAGATCACATCACACCACACCGACGTATTCACCTTGCCAGTGAGTTTCCCTTTTTGTTGCCTTCTATCCCTGTGTATACCTATCAATACGATATTCTTCGAATATTATATGGAGTCCCTTTCGTGCGGTCCAAGCGATGGAAAAAAGTGTTGTTTTATCATTGTTGAATTTTGCTATTTGTATTTCAGTGACAAGATAAAAACATTGGAATTCCTCAATACTGAATTGAGAGTACTTACACCATTATTTTTCTGTGACAGGAAAAAGGACATTGAGTATATCAAAATCAGAAAATTATCGGAGTTTTTAATAGGAATTACACCTGCGTTGCAGGCATCTTTATGATTCTTTTGAAGCAATCAAATATCTGTCAGTCTAATTATGTGATTAAATTTTGAAAAATTGCGAACTTAGTGTTTTGTTAGTGATTTGAGTAACCTTGAAGTGGAATGAAAAATAAAAGGACTTGCAGTTCTTTCTCGGAGACGAGACGGTGGCTCATTTTTCGGAACTAGCACAAGAAAAGCCATCAACAGTGTACATATATCCGAAAAAAAGTACTTACTTTTTTCCGTAAGAAGAAGGAAATTTACGAAAAGTTACATTTTATATCCTGTCAAAAGAGATGAGATGTCGAACTTTTTTACCGTCCCAGAAAATAAAATTAGGTTTGTCCACTACGTTACAAAACAGGTTACCTACATCAACGAATTAACCTACTACTTATCTAGACTACTAGGTATATTATGTCATATACACCATACCCGCAAATCTCATTCTTATATTACTTCGTGTATACGGATCCGTTTGGCATTTGTTTGACATGCCCTCATCAAACCAAGATGAAACCAGGTGATTTTCAAATTACCAGTATTTTTGGAGAACAGACAACAGATATATAATATCCATATGGTTTTCAGAATTGTATAGAAGATGAAATATGTATTCAATAGTGTATGCGATAACACTAAAGCAACGGACATTTTTTTTTGTAATCCCATACTGTTGATTTGATTTAACGGCATTCAGATGACAATTGAAAAGTTAGGAAGAAGAAGAAGAAGAAGAAGAAAGTCTTTATTGTACTAAAAACGTAAAGTTTTTGTTGACAAAGCATGTGTATCATAAGCTATAACTAATATTAAAACTACATAAAATCATGTAAAATATGCACATATATAAGGAACAAAACATTTGAGTCGAACATATACTAGTAAAAGTCACAAAAGATATTGAACAATTAAAAACGAATTATACAAACTGACGAACTTAATTAAATGCGTCTTCATGAAATTCTTGCAAGGTATAATAGGCTTTATTCAGTAGTAGCTCTTTTACTGCCTTTCTAAACTCGATATGTGTTAGCAATGGACGAATATGTGAAGGCAGGTGATTAAACATTTTTTTTGGCATTATAAATGAAAGACTTTTTTATTAATGTACTTCTAGGAATTAGTAGGGAAACCGTACAGTCAACATTTCTTGTGTTGTATACCGACATCGAATGAGTGTTCGTGGTATATTTTTTGTGGATCATACATACACTCTTGTTACACTTCGTTTTTGCCGAACGAAAATACTGCACTGATAGCACATCGAAATTGTTTTGTTTACGTACTTTTCTCTCAGCTTTTCATTTGTTTATTCATCAGTTGTCGTTGATATATCCTATTTGCAATCTCAAATAGTTTATACAGTTTATTGTCGTAAATCAGTTCTCTTATTTAGCTCCTGAAAACAAAATAGTCTCTCGAGTTTCTATTAGACAAGGTCTGTTGTCAGTGCTTACCGTGGTTCGCGATTCTGGTTTCGAATATTTATTCACGCTGTTGTTTTTGTGGGATGATAGCCAGTCTTCTTCGATATGTTCGAGCGCACGGATATTCAACAGTTTAGCGAGGATCATTTCACTATTTTAGTTATCAGTCGATTTATCATATTGTGCTCGTTGTTTACATTTTCAGTCAATAATATTGAGCGAGGTATCACTGTCAGAATCTTTATCACTGTCAGATTGTTGACTACTGACAGTTGACCGATATTTGCGAGCTGCTCTGCTTTATTTTGAAAGACAATGTCATTATTTTTATGATTCTCCGTACTTTTAGCAGTTGCTAACATCTGTCATTGACAGCAGTTCATTTTTCATCGATTTTTGAATGGCCCTCAAAATTGATTGATTATGGAAGGACTAAGCTCAGCATGATGTCGGGATTTTTGTCAAAATAGTGATTTGTTGTTAAATCGGATAGTAGGTGTGATAACCCTAGTGTTTATGTCTCGTTCGATGAAGTCGAGCATCCATCGAAAAAGAAGAAGATTGCGTCATGGGTCGACGTAGTTCCGAGGTCATGTCTGCGCATGTCTCCGTTTGAATATTGTGGTCGTGGCAAAACGGCTTTAACCGCCGAAAAATCAATTTCCACGAAAACTAAATGGAAAATGGTTAACATTCACTAATATCGGGTAAATTAGGTATTTTCTTGTTGGAGCTAGGATATTCTCTCATCTTTCTGTGGTGGTGAAATACCATCTACAGTGTGTTCGCGGGAAAATCTCCCACCAACACTTTCCTGAGGTATGGGGCGTTTTTGAGATAAAGACCGATCTTCCGGTTGAAGGACGGCCCATCATCTTCACGAGATATCTCGCCATTTTTTTCCTGGAGAAGGTTGATCCAACTCGTGTGACAAGTAAGCCAGAGATTCGATTTCGCATTGTACATATTTTGATTTATTCTTTCTCCATTAGTGTTGGGATTAATTCGATTCGAATTCTCATTTCGTGGTGACCAATTTTGGTTTTGGTACCATACCTCAAATTGGAGGGATTTAAGGCCGAAAGCCACGAGGCTGACATCAGCCGATCAAGAACCCGACCACCATCACATCAGGGTTCTTATTCTCCTGGAATTATCTCCTGGCTTCCGATCTGCGTCATCCACCGGTTTGGCTTTTTTTTTTTTTGCAAGCCCCAAAGGAGAGCCTGCTGATGAACAAGCAACCCTAAGAATCCCCTGTATAGTTGCTGAGGAGTAAACAGCTCTTCGAGTCCAC